TAGTTGATTGGTTTAAACATACGTTTAGAATGATACACGGCGGATAACTATCGTGAGAAATGTGTCGTAGGCCCTTCCCAATTACCAATTGATCTACCATTTGACTTTATATCATTCTCAATTAATAAGATGTAATATAATATGTTCACGACTATAATCTCTCATGGAGTAGTTAGAGGTATTTCTTTTATTGAATGAAAATGGAATGGTAAATAGGGGTGGGTAATATTTATTTATTTATAAAGGATACACTAACAATATGTATACAATAATTAAACAGAATAAGTACAATGTTATTAATAAGGTTAAAGCAAGATGAACATATTAATTAGAGGCGTATACAGCTCTCACAGATAAGTGTTTTTTTTTTTTTTTTTTTTATATACAACTTAGAATGGCAAACAAGCTGATGGTCCACCTGATGGAAAGTGGTAATCGTCGCCTATAGACATGAGCAGTACCATGCACATAACAGAGTATACTGTTTCGCCCATGATACCCCCCATGCGTTACCATTCCTGAGGACTCAGATGTTATTCCTTTGTATCCAGTAAATTCACGCCATATCCCACCCTTCAAACCGAAACACAGCCATGCAAACACAACTGCTTCACGGTTAAGACACGAATGGGACGGAGATACCCAAGCAATCGCCTTTTGTACAAAGTCTCTCTCTGGTAAAATATATATTAATATATAATAAATAAATTAATATATGTTAAATGTATTAATATGTCTATCCTTTTTGTTGAAGTTCTATATGAACAAATTAATCTAGTATGACATTAATATCAGTTCGATAACCTTTTACTATTTGTATGTCAAGATGACGTTTGATTAAACGAGACACGAAGACAAACTATTTTTATTAATAATTATTAAGAGATCATAGGTTAATAGTGTACAAACTTCAGTTTTTGATATTTCTATGAAGGTTTTAGCGTGATCGAGTAATAAATATTCACATTTTTAATTATTAATCTTTAAGACCGTTCCTTATGGCAGTCTATGATGGAGGCATTTGTCCAGCAATGGTTGGATAATAGCTGAAATGAGGGGGGAAAGGGATTGTTAGTAATGGAGACTGAGAATCCCATTGCTAGTAATATACCCAACCAGCTCGACCTCGCGGTTCTCCCTGGAATCTATCATGGTTAATTCCTGATGAATTCATTATGATGGAATAACTGGCCTGTTTTCATTTTCATCTATCACTTGGTGTTCCGCCAGCGTATCTTGTTAGCGCAGGCGGGGTTACCATACCATTTTCACTCATCAAAAAAAATCGTACAGCCTGTTTAAATATTGTGACCATATTGTTGGTGTATCTTTTATAAATAAATAAATATAAAACTACTACATATAAAACATACAGTACCAGTAACAAATATGACAATAAAACCAAGAATTGTTAACAAGCAGAGCAAAAAAATGTGTACCGCATTCACTCGAAGCACTCGTGAGAGAGCGGTAATATCTTCACATCAAGAAGATAGCGGCGACAGCGTAGCGTAGCCCATGTTTAATGGAGAGGTTCGACTCGAATTGTATTTTGTTTTTGTACTGTCCGTGTGTCATTCTGCATTTACATTACGTTCGGTTTTCAATCCAATTGTAATATTCACTTTATTTTATTTCATATATATTTGTAAATCTATTAATAATTATATTTTTTTGCCCGCTAGTTAGTATGCTATTTTAGATGTAGGAAAACTAATAAATTAAACCGTTTATACATGGCTATTTCTCTTATTCAAGAGTTGCCTCTTATCGATGCAACTAATTCATGCATTCTCTTCTAGCCAGCTCTATTCCAGGTCATATCTTTTACCTCCCTATACGACAAGACACCTAGTGTTTCCTTTATCTCTTTCTTTTATATACGGCGATAAGACATATTTCAGTTTTTAAGTTAGACCTTCAGGAATACAAATGTGAACACTGCATTCAATTTGATTGAATAGTTTATGCGTGATGCAGGAATAAACATACAGATAAACAGAGACAGACAGACAGATAGACCGATAGACAGTCAGAATTTCTACAAGGACATGTTTTGACATCTATTGGTTTTATTAAAACCTCTTGTATTATGTTTTCTTATAATATTTTTATGTACAGATTCATCTAGATACAATACTTACTAGTATTATAAATATGAGTGTAAATTTGTTTGTTTGTTACTTACTAGCGTTTTAACGGCTTAACCAATCATTATAAAATTTGGTGTACATGTACTATGAGGAATGGAAAAGGAAATAGGCTACTTTTTATCTTAGTCAGTGAATATGTCCAGGTTACAAAGCTTTTTTTTATACAACTTAGAATGGCAAACAAGCTGACGGCCCACCTGATCGAAAGTGGTAACCGTCGCCTATAGACATGAGCAGTGCCATGGACATAACAGAGTATACTGTTTCGCCCATGATACCCCCCATGCGTTGCCATTCCTGAGGCTTCAGGTGTTATTCCTCTCTACCTAGTAAATTCATGCCATATCCCACCCTTCAAACTGAAACACAGCCATGCAAACACAGCTGCTTCACGGTTGATACACGAATGGGACAGAGGTACCCAAGCAATCGACTTTTGTACAAAGTCTCCCTCTGGTAATTTACAGGTTACAAAGCTAGTTTTATTATATTAGTAACACTAACAGGACAATCACATGTCATTTGAAAATTGTATTTTTCCATGGGAATCAATTTATTTATTGTTATAAAGCAATATTATATATATAAATCTAGTTACTATATATTATTATACTCGTATCAAAATTTATCAAAATTAATAAAGTAGATATACGTGATATACGTACATACATTCTAGTTACAATTTCATTATATGTGTAGGTCGCATGTTAATATCTCTTATATAATTTATCTATCATACTCGTATTATGACATTTTGATGCGGCGTGTAGCGCATGAATATATAAATAATTTAAAGCCTCAAATTGACTAGCTTTAGTATAGTTGTGTACTCAGTCTTATTATAAGAGTTATAATACTTAAGTGCATATTAACGTAAAAGTTAGTTTAAGTATACAATAACTTTTTAATTTTAATAACATATTTAAGTATGGCTGAAATGATGATGATGATTTAAGTATTAAGGTTTCTTAAGAGACGGCAACGCGCGCATGACATCCCTCGTGCTATGTGTAACTCTGTTTACCATTTGATGGGCCGTATGCTTGTTTGCCAGCATAGGAGTAAAAAAATATATGTAATATATTTTTTTACTACATATATATATTAATAATTAATTGGTATATGTTAGTCTCGCCACAACTCAAAAACGGCTTAAATAACTTGAAAACATTTTTTCTCATTTTGTTCACTATAATACAGAGGTAAAAAGGGGTAATATAAAAAAAAAAATTGGGAAAGCCCTAAAGTTAAGCTGAAAAATCGAAAAATTAAAAATAGAAAATTTTGTGCGGGAATCACCACTTCGGATTACTTTTAATAGATGGCGTTACATGTGCAATATGTTTTTTATTATCTCAAGAATGATAATGTCTTATTACATAAATGAGATATTTTTGACAAAATTCTTCATTGTATTCGTTGGAAACATGCCGCGGACTCGTGCGATACGAATATTCATTGCAATTCTATGTACTTTTTTTTTTGATGGATGAAAATGGTATGGTAACCCCGCCTGCGTTAACGGAATACGCTGGCGGAGCACCAGTGAAGGCTGATAGATGAGAATGAAAACAGGCCAGTTAGCCCATCATGACGAATTCAACAAAAATTGTTCACGATGGTTTCCAGGGTGAACCACGTGGAGCTCGACCTAATAGGGCATATTGCTAGCAATGAGGCTGTCAAACTCCATTGCTAACAATCTCTTTCTCCCCTAATTCTATATACTACATTGACGGACAAAAAAAGTCCATCTATGCAAGAGAACTTAACATGCACTTAAACCTACGTGTCAACGAGGTGTTATTAGGTTAAGTTATTGCACTAAAGTTACAATTAATTCTAGACCTTTTCGTTACGAATTTACAACATGCTTCGTCACATATAGGGCTGTCAGCCGTGAACGCAGATTCTATGAAATTAAAAGGACGTAATTTTTCCTTTATTTAATTTTTGTATCAACAGGAAAAAAATATTCATACGTATATAATGTGTTTTTAGTGGTATTCTATAGATTTTACTTTATAAATTAATCAAACAAAAACATCAGTACCATTGTCGGAGATCTAAAAAATTATTATAATATTATTTTAAAAATTACCAAACAATAACATACTCTGTGCAGTTTTTTAACTATAAAATCCTGCACAAAATAAGACAGACACACATCTGCAAAGATAAAGCCACTCAGATAATACAAGGGCTCGTCTGAAAACTGAATCTCCGTGGCGTGTTGTAGAGTGAATCTAGATAAATGCAAATAAGCGACAACCCTAGCAGTATCGGAGTGTCGTGAACTGTAAATACATCGTGCTTACAATATTATCGCGCCAATAAATCTATCTTAAAAGATTGCATATAAAATAGTGTGTTTTACATCATGTCCAAGTCGAAGCGAGATTTATATATAGTAAATTTGAAAGTATGTCTGTGTTATCAATAAAATGTAAATATTTTTTGTAGTTCGATTAATTTGATAGCTAGTTAATAAAAATATTAATTTATAATATATACATACATAGGCAACATTATACTGTTACTATATATATTCATAAGCGCCGCTTCACACTGACTTATACAAACTCACCACACTCATCAGCCAATCATAAAAATGTAATAAATAACAGCAAAACTCCACTAAATAACACCTTGTTGAGAAATAAAAATAACTGAAATATAATAAAAAATACTATTTATGGAGAGACAAGTTCATTTTTAATTACAATGATATATTTTGTTGATTTCGAAATTGCGAAACTGTAAGGTCTTTATTGTTTATTTGTATGGGAATAAAATTGATGAAATAGTAATACTTGTAATAATATAAAATGTTATGTTTGTTTGCAGATGCAGGCGATGTGGAAGGGGCCTATAATATTCTAACGTAACGAAGTAAGTAACAATTCTTATAAAATTTTTTTTATAAAATTATTAATATCAATACTAATACTATATTATAAAGAGGAAAGATCTGAGTGTTTGTTTGTAATGGATACATTCAAAAACTACTCAGTCAATTTAAAAAATTCTTTAAATTGTACATAGCAAGTAATATAGGCTATATTTTATTTTTGAAAATCCAGTCTACCCGTACGGAGCCGAAAAAGATTATTTTATTTTAGTCCCCAAGATATAGGTCTGGCCTAGTTTGGGGACTGATTGTAATGCAGATATTTTTCTCATTGAATATAAATTGTAAAAATTATAAATTGTACTTTGTGCAACTGTATCTCACTCGAATAAAAATATTATTGTTATTTATTAATTTACCTTTGCCATAAAAATGTTGTCATAAATAAATTAATAATTTAACAATTTTTTTTTTAATAGATTATATTATATTTTTTTATTTTTTCGACAATGACTGCTGGTCTATTGAGGTATTATTATTGTTTTAATTATATGTTAGTTGCATAAGTCAATTAAATTAATAAACTTATATTAATTTACAATAATAATCATAATATTATTGCGTACTATAATTAATAATATATTTTATGTGAATTTCATATCTCTATAGATATGTCATAGATATATAATAATATAGGGAACAAGGAGTTAATGGAAGCAGGTGGCTCAGGACAGCTCCTTATGACAGACAGACAGACTGACTATGAAGGAGGCTTATATTCAGCAATTGTCAGATAATAGATACTACAGCAGGTCAGTTGCGTGATGTTGAATCCGTTCACGAGTATGACAGACGAGTCGGCCATCTTTGTTTTCGACAACATTTTAGGGAGTCCACAAACTAGTACACTACGCCGCCACCTGTCTGAATTAATAGTAATAAAACATTTACTTGCATCCGCTGCATATGCGTGCATTAATTGCTTAACCTTTAAAATTGAGAACAATGATGTCCACGCAACACCTTACGCATAATGCACGCCATTATCTTGTTAGTGTTAAAACATCAATTATCCCATTAACGTGAGAAATGCCTCAGCCATTTTGAAATTCTCAACGATACAGTCCAATTTAATTTTAATGTATTAAAATTAGTGATGTGCCGAATCGGCATTTAATGATATTCGAGTATTTTTGTACTTACTAAAAAACTCGAATCCCGATTCGACGGATATTCGAGTATATTTTCAATTGATTTAAAAATCAAATTTAAATAAAAAAAATCAGTAATGTAATTTCCCCCTTGAATAATAAAGGTAAACATTAAATAAAAAAAAATAATAAAAATAGAAAAAAATGTGATAAACATGCCAAGTAGTATTCGAGCATCGTAAGTACTTCAATACAGTATCTGAGTTTATTTATTTATTTATTAGTACATATATGTGTACATGGCGAACTTAATGCTAAAAGTATAAAAGTTGTAGAGAACTCGAATAGAGTGTTCGAATATATTGAGCACTCGAATACCTGATACGTATTCGAGTCAGTATTCGAGTCAGTTTGACTCGATACATCACTAAACAAAATATTGAACACACCTGCTCGTTCATTCTTATTTTGCGGTATACGAACTCATTAGTCATCGTTTCAAAATTGATTACTCGTAATTATTTTGTATTGAATATATTAATATTTAAGCGCCTTCGAAAAGAGGTTTTCAATTCACTTTGTATTTTTATTGGGACGATATCATGTAACATACATACATACAGATAAATAATTAAACAATATCTATTTATCCATAATAACTTACTAAAGTCACACTAGTTTTTATACTGGATGATAATGGAATGGTTACCCCGCATTCGCTGACGATATACACTGGCCGGGCACCAGTGAGGAGTGATAGGTGAGGATGAACCAAGTCAGTTAGCCCATCGTGACGAATTCAACAATAAATCAATCACGATGGTTTTCAGGGGGAACCGCGTGGAGGTCGACCTGATATAGTATATTGCTAGCAATAGCTTATTAAGCCCAATTACTAACAATCACTACCAGACCAATACAAACAGACATCATCATATCAGCCTTTAACTGTCCACTGCTGAACATAAGCCTCCCCCTTGGGAGTTCTACCAGTAGTTGCTATGCTTGGCAGTCGGATTGGCAACCGCATCCCTTGCCTCGCCTTGCTCTTACAACACCCACGGGAAAAGAAGGGGGTAGTCCATTGTATACTAGGACCACACGGCCCCACAAACTGATATACTTCTGAATAGAAATACTTCCTCACATTCTTAACCAATTGAGAGTAAACAGCAAAACTGCTCCACTATTGTGAACATCAACTAAGTTGACCGTAAAATCATTTTGCAAATACCAAGTCTGAATCTTACAATTGAATGTAACGCACATTTCATCAAACCGCTGCGCGCGCGCAACTCTTGAAACATTATTTAAGTACAGAAAACGAAGAAATCATTTTAATTTAGTAAACACACTATAAAAGTGCCTCGGTTCGTGACTTACGCACCCACAAACGTACACACATTGTAACACTTCGCAATGTTCCAAAATAAATGTGGAATAAGAGAAATTCAGGGAACGCAAACTTTGTTTTCGTACAAACAATGAATAATAAACTGGTTATTTATAAAAAAATTAAAAAAAAGTTCGTGTTTGAAGGAATAAAAGTATATTGTTATTTCGGTACGTAAACGGTAAAGCTGCATTTTTGTTCAAATTGAACAATGTACATATTGAACTTGCATTGTTAAATGTGAAGTAGGTACATAATGTACCTACTTGAACATTGTATTGATTACTAGCGACCCGACCCGGCTTCGTTTATATAGATATGTAGAAAGACAAATGAGATAAAATATTTTTCCTGTTACTCGCTGACAATGCAGCTTTCTATAGGTGTTTTATCTATTACCAACAAAGACAAATAAAAAATTATTCTTTTCAGTTTTCAAACGACTTCAAAATTTTTGGTTGTATTCTTTTATGTTTGTTATTATTTTTTTTTTATTTTAGCAGATTTAGATTTTTTTTATTTAAAAGAATTTACTAAAAGATTGTAAAATCGATTCTTCAGTTTAAAATTAAAATAACTTGTTTACCACAATTATAATCGGCTACATTTTTCATTTTAGGACCCATATATTTTTGGGGGTAAATTTCACTGTCTCAATGTAGTTAATTTTGAATTTGAAGTGTACTCTGTTATGTCCATGGTACTGCTCATGTTTATAGGCGACGGTTACCACTTTCCATCAGGTGGGCCGTCAGCTTGTTTGCCATTCTAAGTTGCATAAAAAAAAAATCCTAGAGAGATTAGATTTTTTATCTGAAAGAATATACTTTCAGATTGGTCTTATAAAATTTTATCAAAGTCTGTTCGGTAGTTTGGTTTTGAAATAAAAGTTCAAATGTTAAGTTTAAAAAAAAAAATATTTTGACACGACTGAAGTAAATTGTAAAACAAAATCTTATTTTAATAAGACGTCATTATTATGTTTGTGTTTATTTAAATTCGTTGGAAAAAATATTGCGCACGCGGCTGTGTGTTTAATAGAATGGCGCATGGCATTACGTTGAACGAACGAACGATCGCGACGAGACGAACGAAATACGAGCGATATTTGATCTAATCAGTTACCGTTTGTTTATGTGTCGCAAAGTTCATTTAACTTTCTGCTTGGCCATTGCCACCATGTGTACGATGCATAGTATGTGTGTATACGTTTTTTGCACGCCACTGTATTTGTTTCGTCCAATTGTATTGATATTAGTTGATCGATTAATCAATACAATGGTCTACAATGGATGGAAAAAAAAACCGAATTTTAGATATTGACTATGTGACAAAGTGTGCACTGAAGCTAAAAGGTAACTGATTTTTTTTAATATTAAAAAAACTAGCAATTCGACCCGGCTTCGAACGTGTAGACAGAATTTCCAAAAATCAATACATAATAAAAAACGTTTCGGCCAATTCAACTCATCTTTTATAGCATTTTATATGTACTTACATAATTCTTTAAACTGATATAAGTTTTTATTTATGAACCGATTGAAACAAACACTTAATGTTAAGTGGAGCAAACTGCATCGCATTAGTGACAACTGCATTCAAATCGGTTATTTTTGAGATTAGAGCGCACAAACGTACCGACAAACAGACAACAATTCTAAAAATTATTGTTTTGGGTTCTTATAAGAGTTTTTCTTATATATCTTTCATGTACAGACAGCGACCAGTTACGACGTTATTATATGTATTGATACATTTGACAACATTTGCAACATTTTTAAACTTCAGTTCTTCTTAATAATTGTGATTTCAACTTATTATCATCATCGTATCAGCTGTTAAATATTCACTCCTGAAGACAGACCAAATACTGCCATAAAGAACGGTCTCGATCCACTTGTTCCCATTGACTCTCTGCCAATGCATTTGAAGTCGTCGCTGCATCTAGTGCTGGGTCACCAAATACGTTCGCCTGGATGGGTCGCCACTCAAGAACTTTTTGTTTCGCCATCAGTTGTCGGTTCTTCGAGCTATGTGACCAGTCCATTGTCACTTTGTCCGATTATCCTTCCAGCAATGTCACTTTGGTTCCACTGCGGATATCCTCGCATGCGGATACCATGAAATGTTTTTCGAAATTTCGGAGCCAAACGAAACAGAAATTTGATGTTAAAATTACATAATACATGCCATTTGAAAATATTAAAAATGTTAAAATATTATTCCTTTGGACTTTTATGATAGGATGTATGACGAACGAAATGTTAAACTCCATTTATTGGTCCGATTTTGGTATAAACAAAAACACGAAATTAAGTCCGAAATTTCGGAATTTCATTTCATGGTAGACCCGCTGATTCTATCACGCAAAAAGAAACTCTTAACATTTCAACTAATTTAAATTAATGTAATTAGAAGTTAAATAATGCATTAAACTGTTTGCGGTTAACACTTTCACGGTTAGTTTGGAATGAATGAAAAACTGATCTATAAGACT